ATTAAAAATTTTGTAAAACTTAGCTAAATGCAAGAACAGTGAGCTAAATAATGAAAAACATGTTTTAACATTTAATTTTACACTTGGCGCCCCACAGATTTGCTAGAACAGAAATGTCCAAATGAAGACACTAAAGTACTCCTAAAGAAGTCAAAGAAAGGAAACCAGACAAAACTGAAGTTTGTGGATAAAAGACGTGATGTTGTGTCACCTGCACCATCCTCTAAAGTCCACAGGCTGCAGACTGGAAACTATTAAGGTCCTTTTCGCCCCTAATGGCTCTGTTCTCTGGCAGCTCTTTGAACTTCACTCCMCTGTTTATGTCGTCTGAGCGTCAGACAGCTAGGACTAAACTCTGATCCTGCTGGGGCAGAATCTTCAATGAAAACATGAAGCTTCAGCTTGTGTTTTGATTTTTTTTTTTTTTTTTTGGCCATGACTCAAATGCATTCCTAAATTAGGCGAGATCTTGCTTCTAAACTGTAAATCCATAAAACATTCTGCGATACGTCAACAAAATGTTTGTGTTTTGCCCAAATTACTGTTTGAGTTTAAAAGAAATTGTATTATTTCCACAGGTTTTAAATTAATAAAAAAATAAGGTATTCATGTCTTTTTTCCCAGGTTAGTTTCCATGACATCATCATCATCATCATCAATGCACCAGATGTCTGTGCTCTCGTTCCTGTCAAAACAAAATATCTCATGTCTGTTTTAATCAGTTTAGAAAAGCAGCCAGATTGTATTCCCTCTATAGTTTATATTAATGCACATTATTAGGAAAGGTCAGCTCATGATGCAGATCTTCAAGGCTGGAGTTCACGTTACAGAGCCAAAGCAAAAAAAAGCACACGGTGCGTACAACGACAACCTTGGCCTCTGTCTGTATTCTTTAATCTTTGCACAAAGCTCATCTCTGAGTGACCTTCAAACAAATAACCACTGATATGAACCTGAAATGAAACCCTGCAGCCTTGAAGAAAGTTCTCCTGGATGTTGGCTGAACGAACCGCTGAGCAGTTTATCAGAGAAAAATGAAAGCCGTGCCTCTTTTGGATTTAAAATACTTCTGAAATATTTCATTTTTTTTCCTCACACACAAAGAAAGTCTGAGTAATATTTTACAGCAGGGCTATTCAACTAGAAGCTCGCAGGCCACATCCGGCCCACAAGTGACCAAAATTTGGCCCGCCATTTGGTTCATTAATCTCTTAAATCTAAGCTTCCTATTTTCTACTTTAATTACTTCTAGTCCCTTAAGTTAGACAAAAATAGAAATGTGTGATATTTACAGAAGTGTCAGAATCTTGGCTAAAAGCTGGTAAAAAATGTTACAGTGTCTCAACACCTAAAACCGTTAAAAGTGGGAGAAGTTGAAGATAAGATGAAAAAAATAAAACTGGTTTAAATTTTGGGCAAGCCAGAGATGTMAAAATAATGTTTGTGGTAAATAGGAGGCATGATGTGTTATTTTTGTTTTTGATATTGTTTTATTATCACTGTTTTTATTAGGTTCTGTATGTTGTATTCATGATTATATAAAGCAAAAAAAAATTAACCCAAAGATAACAGATTTCTATGATATTTGGTTTATTTACATAATGACTTTAATTGATGGATGTTCGACCCCTGAGCTGTTGGCCTGTAACTGTGGCCCCTGAAGTTATTTAGTTGAATAGTCATATTTTAGTCTTTAAAAACACCAGAATTTGTACATAATTTTTTACTGGTCTGATGACATCCTTGTAAAACATTAAATCGGATGTTATGATCACTTATGAAGTTATGATCTTTCCAGCCCACAGCCATCAGCATCTACAATAATTCTTTAGTTAAACGAGTTACAACAACACCTAATTTCCCTCTGGGATCAATAAAGTATTTTTGATTTGAATTTGAATTACTCAGTCTTTTTATAAAATACATTTTTCTCCTATTCCTTGGATGGCTAATTTTACTTGAGTAAAAATATGTTGAGGTACTTGAGTACATCTTTTGGGTACTCAACCTCCGGTTATCACAACAGTATTAGACGTGAAGACGATGGGATGTCGGTTTGTAGCTTTAAATCGTTTTAAAAACCAGATCTTGTAGTGAAGGCAGCACCACAGATAAACGGAAATCACCTCTGGGTTTGGTCCCCTTCACTCCGACAAGGCTTTGAACAGCTGCCTTGTCAAAAAAGCAAACAGTGACTGTGTTTTAACAAAAGCCACCAGTGCTGGAATGCCTCCATCTTTTCAGGAACTGTAATCCCAGAACACACTGCTGTCAGAGCCCATCAGGCGCTGAGTCCGGGGATGGGTCCTGATTCCTGCCCTTTGGAGAGCAGGAGCAGCGGAGGGGATGGGCTGCCACTGTTATACTGAGACAACATAAAGAGTAGTGCTGATGAAGAGGAGTTTAGTGGAGAGGAGGGAGAGGAGGGGAGCAAAGACAAGGAGGGAGGCAGCTTGTCTTTTAAATTTGGTATTTGGTCTCTGTTGAGATGATGAGAAGAAAAACAGCAGATGTTGCCGAGACGTGATTGAAGCTGTCAGGTGTTCGTGTTTTAACTGTCCACATATCATCTTCTCACACTGACGTCACAAAAAAACAAACCTCAAACTGCAGAAGATTGTTGAGAAGGTAAATTACACAGAGAAGTTGTCATTTTGTCGGGCGTCTAGTCAAACCAAACAATAGAATTATTATCACCACAGTCAAGAAGGAAGGAACCAGACATCAGTAAAATACGACAAAGATACTAGTTTAATTTCATTATTGGATATTGTACAGAACATGCACT